TTCATTCAAGTTTCTTAAAAATAACAAGTGCGCCTGTAAGCAGTGACATAATGAAGCTATAAATTCTCCGTCTACTTATAGTTCTTTAACATTTTACAACGGTCTGCTCTTCTGGGTTAGTCATGACTGAGGGTTTGCAGCACTGTGAATATTCGTTAAGGGTTTTCGGGGGTGGAGGGTTTCAGCTCTTAATGTGCCTAATAGCAGGAGAGCTACCTGCAAAATACTTCTGCATTTTTAACTTTTTCTTAAAAGGTCTCTTCCGGCTTTTACATTGTGTTGAAGCAAAGATGACAAAACGTTTCAGGAATTGATGAATGAGTTAATGTGGGTAAAAAACTGTGAGGAGGATATTTGCCAGAATCAATTTCATTTCAGAAACCTCGTTTGAGTTTTTTAATTTTGCCAGAGTTACGATTTTCTTTCTGCTGACCATACAATATTACAAAACATAAAATTTTGCTGGCATGAGTTGAATATCTTACTTAGCTCAACGTTAAAGCTTGCTGTAACTTACTTAAGTCCAACAACAGCAAAATTTTACCAATCATGTAGTAGGTAATACAGTTATGAGATTTTAATTCAGTAGTTCTTATAAGTACCTGATTTGCTGTAAATTAACATTTTACATAATTTGAGTTTAAAAGATTGAGCTTCTAATGTTTATGACTGTAATGAGATAATTGTAATTTTAAACAAAGTAGTCATAGGCAAGCTGCAAACTCCTTTGAGCAGTTCTGCCAATTTTGTGTTTTGCCTACAACGTTCCAATCTTCTGAAAGACTTTCAGCTTTGCAAATCTGTCTGAATGTGGAAGAATCTGTTTGTTCTTGTGATTCAAATACAACTTTGGTAGGAGAATGTGCAATGGACAAGTGCCCAGGAGTTATTTGTACCTTTGAAAATCTCCACTTCAGACTTTGAATGGCAAATGCCAATCCCTTAGAATGAAGATATAAGTGCCGGTCTAAAATGTGTCAGGCTTAGCTAATGAAAACCCTGTGCAGGTGGGCAGCCATGTAGAATTCCCACTGCCTGAATCCGGAGAACTTGTTTGTAGCTGCACATCCTTCATGTACCTCTGAACTGTTGCCCACAGGCATAAGTTTAAGTTGACCTGCTACAGAGGAGCTCAGATCTGGCTAGGTGTGATTGCTTGTCAAATGCGTGTGGGGTTTTGAATTTACAGAGCTGCATATGGGTGTTAATGGTATCTTGCAGAGAGAGACTCTTGTGGACAGATGTAGTAGATATTTCCATAGACCTGGATGTCTCTGTAACAGAAAGCAGGTTTTGATCTGAAGAGGGAATGCAGATAGGCTTTTGCAATACATTTATGAGTTGCTCTAAAGAAGGTATTGGACTGTTGGTCTGCTAAGCCCTAGCTGTGACCAACCTATGCATTTAATTCCAGGGCTTTGTGAAGTATGTTGTGAGATTCATCATATATAGCATGATTTTAATAATACAAGTCCTTGTATTAAAAGTTCTGATTGAACATCAAAAAATGAGTTACTTAATCAAATCCTCTCAAACATTTTTAAAGAGAGAACTATGTTCTCAGCTTCCTCTTCATTAAACTGGGGGAAAGTTTTTAATGTGATATAATGAGAAAAGGGAGAAATTGTCTTCTAAAAAAAATCTTTGCTTATTCATGTTTTTTTTTCCCATTTAAATTTCCTTCCTTTAAAAAATACATGCCTGATACAAATACAGTGATATTCCAGATGACTTAAATTTTCCTATTCTCTCTGCATATTGCTTCTAAATGTATAGCCATCATATGATGACTATGGTGATATATAGTATACCTTGTCTCTCTATGAAGTGAGCCTCAGATATCCTTGTCTCAGAACATCTCCCCAGATTTTGTGTAATTGACATTTTCTTCAATGTGCTAAAGACCCACCATAGATTTGTGCAACTGATACGGCATGACTAGAGCTTCCTCAAAGGCAATGTGAAAGTGTGACACATCCTTTAAACAGTTTTCATTCCCTGCAATAGCTGTGGTCAAGGTCAGAATTTTAGTAAGTCAATAGATAACCATGGTATCCTTTTTCTCCTAAAAGCGTGTGCAAAAGATGTCCCATCTGGAGTTGAAGACGGCTGCAAGTTGGTATGAAGTGATTATGTGACTGTTGTTGGCATTCATATCATGGCTTTTCCTAGCCAAGGGCCATGTGGAATTGTGGGAGAATCCTTACTTTGGTTGTTTGGTTTGGGGTTTTTTTTGCTTTTAAGGAAAGTTGTGGAGATTAAATTGGTCCATGAATAAATTAACAGGATTCTGGGAGGAGTTCAGGCTTTGTCTTATGTGCCAAATGGTGATTAGAAATAATGCATAGGGGTTGAGGGCTTCAGATTCTGAAAGGACACTTGTGAGAACTCTCCCCCTAGTAAGCAGGAACAAGTAGAGGCTTTTCTAAAGTAAAGCCAGTCCTATGTTACACCTTTCAGGATATGAATGGAGGGCAAAATTCTACTTCTTGAGTAGGCTGTTGCATCGACAGCTGCCTTTAGGTAATCTGAGTGTCCTCCATGTCTTTTTGCAAAGGGGAGAAAACCTTTTATTCCTCACTGGCCCTTGCTTGCCACGCACATGTGGGTCTTAAATGAGTTATGTTAGGACTAAAGAGTAGGATTTTCAAGAAGCTCTTCTAGATGATCTTTTTGCCTCCTCCCAGAAAGCACTCTGTATGTGCTCTTTGCAAACAGTTTGACTTATTTTCACCATCTGATTTAACTTCAATAGTGAAAAACATACATTTATAAATGGCCTTGTTGGAGGGCTTAATGCTTTGGAAAACTTCCACTAAGAAGCCAGCAGAGTTGTGAGTTATTAATATGCTCTAAAAGCAGGATTACTTTGATCCACTTACTCCCTCTAAGCATACTCATTCTTTATGTGGGGGTTCAGTTTTCTGATGGCAGTATGTGTGTAGTCTTGGGCTCTAGAGGCTCACTGACCTCCTACAAAATTTTCTCAGTATGACGTGGTGCTGTACACTTGTCCTAGATTACTCTCCCGGGAGGTGTCAGAGATGCTCATTAATAAGCATGTAGTTTTCCAGTATTCCTCCAGGGCTTTCCAGTAGAGCCTTTGTCCATATGTTTGTTTGATATTGTTGGAACTACACTTGGAGCAGGATGATGAACTAAATAGCACACGCAATTTTTCTTCTTTCTGATTGCTGCTGAGGCAGGTGACATTAAGAACGTTTTTAAACAACTGTTCAACTACACTATTTCAGTAGCATCGCTGGCGTAAAACCTAAAAAGCTGAGTTGGTCAAAAAGGCTATCAGAATAGTCTGTTTCATAAAAGCTCCTCTTATCAATTATCTATGATATCTATTCCCTATTAGTCATAATTAGACTAGTCCAAACTCCAGAGGTTTTCTACGCAGAGCATACATTTTGTTACACAGCAGATAAACAAATCAGATCTGAGGTTAAAAAGTCCTTTTTCAGTCAATCATGTCTTGCCATGTTTGTTCAGTGTCTGTTTTTTTTCCAGTCATGTGCCAGGTGAATTTTAAGAAGCATCTTAATGATATTTCAAAGGTTATAGAATAAAAGAAAAAGTTAATGTGAAAATTATAGTCGTAATGACATTTTATTTTTGAATGCTTGTTGCTTACAAGGAATGTGGAGCTAGAAATTGAAACTTGGTATCTTTAAAGCCAGAAGTCCTGCTGATTGTTCAAATTTATAATTTGCTGAGTTATAAGCCATGGAAAAATGTGCCAGAGTTATTTAAAATTCCTGGCAGTGTACCAGCTTGTGTACACTGCGGCATGGCAGGTTTATGGGCTGTGTCATTACCCTCCTGGTGGTATTTCAGGATGTTGTGGTGGAAGTGAAGTGCTTTCCTCAAAACTCTGACTGCATGTCTTAGTGCAAATTTACTGCTCTTGAGGGGAAAGGGAAATGTATGGGTTTAAAAAATTGATAGGATATTATGTTAATTATTCCAGATTTTCTGTTCTTGTTTGGGGAATTACAGTTTTGATGAAAACGTTTTCTCTAACTGAGAGCGCAGATACCAGATCTCAAGCAAATGAATCTTTAGGTTAATGTGAGGCTGAAAATCGTGATGTGCAGGGAGAGTGTTTTCTTACACTTGTTCTGCCTTTGCCTCGTGTCAACTGATGACTTGGAGCAGAGATTGAAATTAAAATTTCCGTCGTCATCTTGAGCATGCCCTTTAATGCACTTATGCTTTGCAATTTCTCCAGAGTAAATAACTATATCTAATAGCACTCAGTGTCAGACAGACTGATTGGTGTAATCCTTTGGAAGTCTGTTGTGTTACTTCACTTATGTTCACTGTTAAAACGCTCAACACTTCTTGGCAAAGGCTTGTGCTGACTCCTTGGTGGCAGCACATACAGGTACTCAAGCAGGTTTTCTTAACGCTCTGTTAACAAATATTTGTTGGCTAGCCTTTCTTCAGCGGCAGCTGATGTCGGCGATTTCTGAATCGTTAGGGGGTTTAAGCCAGGTAGATTGTATTTAAATTTTATTAGCAGGTTAGCTCACATAGAATTTTTGGCCTCGCATTTCAAGTCTTGGGAAATTTGTCCAAAATACTTCAGTATACTAGGGTTATTTGGAAAAAGGAATATGTGACAAGTTCATCTGTTTAGACTGAGCTGGATGTAGTGACAAGTAGTTAGGAATTCAGATATAGAAAGTTAGAATATTGGTGAAAGCATTCTAACTGTATTGCGTTTTTCTCGCAGTAATCCAAGGATAACTTCATGTCCTGCAAATTAATACTTGAGTCTTTGAATGTAGTGGAAAGGAATTTTATGGTGGCTCACCTGATTCAATTTGAAACAAACTTGCAGAAGCATTATTTATGTCTTATTTAGTTACTACCACTCTGATTTCAAGATAAAAGATATTTAAGTATTCCGTGTAATACCTTATGAGTAAGATTACTCTTGCAGTAATGCATTAGCCCTTTATAGCATGCTGTCATCTTAATTACAGGGGTTGGAGAGAGGAGCCAAAAATCAGTTTTCCACTTTCAGCAATTTCATCACAACTATCAACCAAAAGAAAGAAGGCATCGGAAACAGAAATTCGCCTACGCTTGTTATACCCAACATCAAAAATGGTAAGAGAATAAAATCCCTATGTTACTTAGTTACCAATTTAAGAAGGTGCTCAGTGTTCTGCCAATATTTGTGTTATGGTAATGCCAGAAAATCTAGAAATCTAGATTTCATTAAATTCTGCTGTGCTGTACACTGTGCAGGCAGTGATATATATGATAGTCCATCCTCTGTAGAGGTTATGTCATAGAAACAAGTTGGATAAGAAAAACAAATAGATCTGGAGGATGAAACACTCATCTGAAGTTTTAAAGAAAGTTACAGGTTCAGTAGTCCATCTGCAGTCGGATTGTCTAACTGCAGTCAGATGGCAGTTTCTCTAGAAATTGCATCGTAACTTTGTGAAGAAGATACTTCTATCTATCTGAAGGATGGTGGGGATGAGGCAAGCATGGTGCCTTTGAGGGAGAGAGTTGCTGACAGTTGCTGGTTTTTAGTGAAGGTGAAGGCCAGTGAAGACACAAAATAAAATTCATAGGCGAAGATTGGTTAAGCTCTGAAGAGCTTTAAAGACAAGAAGGAAAGTGGTTGTGGTACAGTGAGGAAATGATAATTGATGAAAAGATAGAAAGTGGAGCTGTGTATTCAGTATGGTAGGCTAGAATCGTGAAGTCTGATGAGGTGACATTGTGGTTAGACCTGAAATTTTTATCAGATTTTTGGGCCAAGATATGGAATTTCAGTAATTTGGGACTTTTGATAAAACGCTGCACAAATATTTGTCAGGTATGTACTCATCTTGCCTCTGAGCAGGCCCCCCTCAGCCTTATTATTCTGTGGTTCTCTAAGTCTTTATAGCACTCAATGAATTTGAGGCTAGAAAGCAAGAGACTGCATTAATTAGATCTCAGTAGTGCGAGTTTGAAACAAAACTGTGGACAAGTGGTGTCAGTTTCAAAGTTGGGCAGAAAAAGGTGGCTTAAACATTGCAGGATTGGATCCTTACTAAAATAATCTTTGTATCCGTGCTAGCTGTACTGCAAAAGTAAAAGGCAATGGAATACTGTTTTGGGGTTTTTTTTTTCAGTTTTTGTTATGGAGTTAGGAGGTGCTTTCTACTTAAAAGAAAAAAAAAAAGGCAATCACTGAAACACAGAAGGCAATTATGTGTAAATGATGGCTCAGACAGGATTTTTTACTTTGCTCAAGTCACTTCTTACTACACAGAGCAAACAAAGATGGCTGGAGGTGGCCGGTGATGAATTCTCCCACTGCTGCATAACTAACTTACCGCTGTTAAGGTAGAAGTAGTTTTCTTGAGGGTAATCCCTGGGGTAAGACAAAAAGAAGATGCTGCAAAGCAGGTCAGAGTTCTGCTGATTCTTACAAAGTTCTGTAAGGTCAAGCTAACAAAGAAAAACCTTCAGGTGGCCATTGCTCTCACCTATATATTTTTAAAGAAAAGTCTTTGTATGTGAATCGCCTGTGAACAATTGCACTATTGTTGGAATCTGAAAGTCCTCAGAGAAATAAAATGTTTTGCCTTTCTCATATAACATTATTTTCCTCAAAAGCTGAAAGTGACCTCTTGTCAATATTAACTGCTCAGCTGCCGCTAGCCTTGTTAACAGAAACATGCATGCAGTTGATTCATAGACTTCAGGTTACCGTCTTTAATTATTGAAGCCCTAATTGTTTCCTGTCCAGCTTCTGTCTGAATAGTTGCTTAACATAATCTTATGTTATGGTATGAAAGCCTGCTGCTTAATAAAATTTAGGACAAAGTAAAATTAAATCTAGTGTGGAGCTAAGCAATGTGAAAAATACAGTACCCTTTTGCAGAATTCATTTCACTAAACAGAAGAGATCTACCCCCCACCCCCCCAGTCCTTTTTTTTTTTTTTTTTTTCTGTATCTGACAAGACTGGTAAGCTCTTAACACCTCTCTCTCTTGAAGTGCCCTCAGTTCTTACTGCTCATGATACTGTTCTGGTTGCAATTACTGCCTCATAAGTACTTAGTTGTTAATTTTTGCCGCACTAATGCATGGCAATATTTGTTATAGTCAAGGATATATTTTTTGAAATTGAGCTCAATGTGTAAAATTGAGCAGATACCCCGATCCTGCAATTAACAGAATAACCTGCCTATATAAAACCAGATTATTTTTACAAACAGTCCAAGGGACACTCCAAATTTTTTGAGAAGATATGTATATTCCATGGAAAAAATAATCATTGAAACAAATTTCTCAGTTAAAAATGCTTCTTTGGCTATTCTGGAATTCAGGAATGATGCTTAGTTGGTGGGTGTTTTTCAGTTGATCTATATGTGCTGTCTTTCTGAATATGTGTATATATGTGCATATACTGACAATACTTCAGGCTTGAGTTCAAAGAATGTTAATTTTGTTGAAAAACAAAAGATTGGAACGGTAGTGCTAGTAAATATAGCATGAAACCTAGGGTGATGTTTTTTTGCTGTGTAGCTGCCACAGAGCTTGAATTTGTATAACAAGTCTTCTAATGCAACAGTGATGTGGTATGAAATCTACATACGAACTAGATTGTTCTAGTTCTTTTATAATGTTACAAATACAAGTAAGATTTGTTTGCTTTACCTGCTTTGAAAATTTTCATCTGCCATTAGCTGTGTTGGTCACTGTGAAAATAACTGCTGTTCTGAATTCATTCACCCTAAATTTCCTTGTACTAGTCCATTCTGCTTTGTATCAATGAGATTTTCTTCCTCAAAGTTTTTGATTATTCCCTAAGCAGTCATACATTGTTGAGTCTTTTTACTTGCTGTAACTGGGCAAACAGCCAGAAATGATTGGGGTTTTTTTTGTCTTGTAATATTGTGTTATTGCTGCTTATCAACTCAATACATAAAGTTTCAAGTTTCTCCTCAATGGAACTCAAGTGACAGATCTTAATTAATATTTTTGAATGTCAGATGAGCAAATAAATCTATTTACAAATAAACTTGAATTATGGCAAAACATACTGAAGTTGACAGTATTTATTAAACATATTATTAAAATTCAGTTTTAGTCTATCTAATTTAAGCTGCATGTATTTCAAAGAAAATTGCATCACTGACAGAGTGCAAGTTACCAGCTTAGCACCTGCAGCCTCAATTTACTGAAATGAGAAACAGCTTCTGTCAGCAGCTGTCTCTTCTACAGATGTGGAGAGATTATTTTCCTCATTTTAGTGTATTCAGCTGGTTATAAATCAATGTTTAATCCATTTAAAATTGAGAAGACATAATGGGACCTAAATGAGAATGACTTGTCTTTCTCAGAGTATAAAAATAAGACATAGTCTTAGTTTCTTTTAAGTCAGTCCATCCTGCTTTCAGAGAATGAAGCACAATAGCAGAGCACTTGCATGGCAGGATTGTTTGGCACCTTGGCTTGAATTAATTTAGTATCTATGTGTCCACTTAGTGTTTTAAGTTACTGCTCTTCTCTTTAAATAGCTCTAAGTTCCAGCTGTGAGAGTGGGCAAGGTTCCATATCAATAGTCAATGCAATACTCAGGGGGTTGAGGGCAGCTCCGATCTATTATCGGCTGATGAATGGTGACTGAGTTAAGTCACAATGACGGTGTTTCTGTCATTAGCGTGAGTGAAAAGAATCTGCCTTTGGGTTTTGGGGACTTTGTTAGCGTCTGTTTCCCTGCTGTGATAAATGGAGTAGGCAGTGGAGTAGTGATACTACTTTGATGTTTAGTTAATTTTAAAAAACAACAGCTTTTGGAAAAGGCTTAGAGGATTCTTAAACAATTCATAGAAGATTTTAGTTTAATACGTTTGGGTTTTGAGGATGCTTTTATTTTATATAGTGTCTTTTATCCCAAATATACGTCATAATTCATATAAATGCTTTTAAAATGTGCTGTATAAATCAGACTAAGAAAGCATTTTAAGGATATTTGAGAAGACACTGTCAGTAAAATGGATATTTGTGTATACTGCATTGGAATTATTTTTTTCATGTTTTTGGTGGGTTTACCTTGGCTGGCTGCCAGATGCCCACCAAGCTGCTCTATTACTCCCCCTCCTCAACAGGACATGGGGAAAAAAATAAGATGAAAAAGCTCATGGGTTAAGATAAAGACAGGGAGTTCACTTTCCAATTACCATCACTGGCAAAACAGACTTGACTTGAGGATATTAATTTATTGCCAGTTAAACAAAGCTCAAAACACTTTCCCCCTGTCCCTCTTTCTTCCCAGGCTCAACTTCACTCCTTTGTTCCCCACTCTTCTACCTCCTCCCCGTGAACCAGCACAGTGGGGCGAGGAATGGAGGTTGCAGTCAGCTCATAAAACTTCATCTCTCCTACTCCTTCCTCCTCTCACAGTTCCCTGCTCCAACATGGGGATACAGTCTTTCACAAGCTTTTCCAACGTGGATCCTTCCCATGAGTTGCAGTTCTTAAAGAACTGCTCCAACGTGAGCTCTTTCCATAAGGTACAGTCCTTTAGGAACAGCCTGCTCCAGCATGGGTACCCCATGGGCCACAGTTCCTGCCAGCAGCCTCCTTGGGCATGGTCTCTCCACGGGCTGCAGGGTGGATGTCTGCTCCACTGCGGTCCTCCATGGGCTGCAGGGGGACAACCTGCTTTACAGCTGTCTTCTCCACAGACTGCAGGGGAATCTCTCTGTTCCAGCGCCTGGAGCACCTCCTCCCCCTTATTCACTGACGTGGGTGCCTGCGAAGTGGTTTCTCGCCTGTCACAGAGGCCATCCCTGCAGCTGCCCTGCTGCCAAAACCTTACTGCATAAACCCAATTCAGTGTTCTCAGATCAAATAGAAAGTAATGAGTAAAATAGAAAGACCTTGTTAAAGAACTGCTATTTGTACTTGGAATATGCAAACAAATTCACTGAGAAGAAATGTTTAAAGATGCTACTGTTTCAGCAGTAATTCTCTGCAAGACAGAAAGCTTGCATTTCCAATTTAATTTATTGGAGAGATTCTTTTAGGAGGCTGTAGGTGATCCACAGTCAGCTCTAGCTAAAATTATATATCAGTGTAGAAAAACTGACTGAAGATTTGTCCTTGTGTATCAGAAAA